ACTTTGGTAGGCCCCAGCCCAGTTCCCACGAAGCATCTTAAAATGCACCTGCATCCACAATTAAATATAATTTATATCTAACTATGTAGGAGCCATATTACTGTTGCCTGTTGGACACATACTAAATTTTACAGAGAAACATTTATTAATTGTGATTCTGCTGTTTTTTTGGTTTTGGAGTCAATTTTTTTTGTTCATTGTTTGTTTATTTATTTAAAATTTATTGGGGAACAGTGTGTTTTTCCCAGGACCCATCAACTCCAAGTCAAGTTGTCATCCTTCAGTCTAGTTGTGGAGGCTGCAGCTCAGCTCCAAGTCCAACCGCCATTTTCAATCTAGTTGCAGGGATGTGGGGGGGCAGGCAGGGGTGGGGAGGACGCAGCCCACCATCCCACGCAGGAGTTGAACCAGCAACCTTGTTGTTAAGAGCACACGCTCTAACCAACTGAGCCATCCAGCCGACTGCTTATTGTTTATTTTTTTAGGTTGCAAACATTTAGCTCGGTCTCAGCACTGTGCCTGGTGCTCAGTGGGTGAAGCGGCATGGGGCGTGCCAAGTCCAATGGGTGGCAGTCTCAGGGAGCCCATGCTGGCTCCAAAGAAGGAGCTTTCTAACCATGAAAGGGCTGCCTTCACCAGAAGAGCTTCCCATTCCTGGAAATAATTTCACTTCAGGCCAACTCACATCTATTTAGCACTTTGTACATACCACGCGCTGTCCTGCTATCAGAAATGCTGCAGGAAAAATTTCTGGCCTTAATGGGAAGCCAGAGAACATGGTCTCTGGAGTCCCCTTGAGTTTAATGATTCCATGGGCATAAAGGCGCTGTCTGGCAGCTGCCACTCAAAGTGTGATTCCTGGACCAGTAGCAGCATCCTGGAGCATGCGAGAAACGTGACTCTCAGGCTCCATCCCAGACCTGCGGAATCAGAATTTGCATTTTCACAAGATCCCAGATGACTCTGTACACGAAGTACAGTTTGAGAAGCACTGCCCAGGTCCCTTGATAGTCTCTGTTGCTCTCACTAGCAACAGCCAGTCCTGGGCTGACCACAGCTATAAGTTTAAGGACCTATTTGTAATTTAGGTAGGTGCGCCACCCTGACATTAACTGATGAGCACAAATGCATCTCCAGCCAGCAGCTCGGGGCCTCAACGGAGCTGGCTGAAGGCTCTGGGCTGCACAGAGGCTTACAGGATACTGCTCTGGCTGGGGGGCTATGACCTGGGGTCTAGGTAGCGGCGGTGGGGGAGGTCTGCTGAGAACTGACTGCCAGTTTCAGGGCACCCTTCTGTGCCTGCAGAACCCCCTTCTCTCTTGCAGAGTGTGAGTCCCCTGGGCTGGCCTGAGGCTAGCAAGGGGCAGCATGGGGCTTTCTTTGATGTACAGACCAAGGAAGCTGCTGCTATGAGGGGTCTGTCTTTGTGGGAGGACAGATGCCTACATGAAGCCCAGGCAGGCTCGAACTCTGGTGTTCGGTGCCAAAAGCTGGGGGGTGGGATGCCACGCAGAGGCACTTACTCCCTAGGCATTTGCTAGCCACCCACTGTGTGCCAGGCACTTTGCAAACATCATCTGATTAATCTGTGCCACAAAATCTCCATGAAGTGGGCTGATAGCCGAGGCTCAGATCGGTGAGGTGATTCACCCGGGCTGCACATGGGGCTGCATGGCAGGGCTGACCTGAGAATGCCGAGGTGTGGCGCCAGGAAGGCCTCCAGGTGGTCTGCGGCAAGCCACAGGGGGAGCTATGGCTCTAGCAGGGACGAAGCATGTGGGAGCCCTGCACTAGCCCTGGGAGGATCAGACAGACGACCGCGGACTCTGAGATAAGGTGGAGGGTCCTGGAGGTGGAAGCCCTGGCTGCTGGGTGGCCACAAAGTTGCCAAAGGACCTGCCATCTCACTTTCGGGGAGCCCTTGAGATGCCCTAGGGATGTGCCTGGACCTCTGTTGGAGTCTCCTGCCTGTGAGACCTGCAGAAGGACTCACCGCTGGTCAGCCTTCTAGTGGTTTCTTTTCAACTTTCTGGCTATTGATGTCTAATATTGACTTTTAATATTGCTTTTCAGTATTTTAGCTTATTCTTTTTATTATTTTAGTGTGTATATTTTATCATTCTGACTTGCACTGTTCCCAATTATCTTTCCTTTTTAAATGGTCTCATTTTACCTTCTATCCTTTCAAACCTCTTAAGCCTTCTGGTTTCCTTTCATATCTTCTCCTTAATTATCTGTTTTTATTGTTATATTTCCCTTCAACTTAAAAAAATCATATTTTTCTGACTAGGAAAGTATAATGCATTTTTATTGCTAAATGTTTGGAAAATATAGGAAAGGGTATAAAGAAGAAAATTAAAATATCCCATTACATCTCCTCTAGGAATAACCACTGTTGCTGTTTTATTCTATTCTCTTCAACTACTTTTTCTATTCATAAACACTTAGAGATATTGCTTTAACCCTTTGTCTGACATACATGTTGTAAATATTTTCCTGTGATTGGGTGGTTATTGAAAAAAAAATCGTTTTTGTTTTTGTTTTTGTTACTAGCCAAAGTTGCATATGCTTGCTGTGTGAAAACGTCGAACCACACTAATGGCTCTACAGCAAACAGTGAAAATGAACCCCTCCTCCACATCCAAGACCCTGTTTCCAGGAAAACCAGCTGAGGTAACCACAGTGCACTGTTTGGTATACATCCTGCTAGACTTTGAAAATGCGTTTTCCTGTATGTTTTTAACAACAATGGTGTTAAACACCCTCTTCTGCCTTTTGCTTTCTCACTCAGCAATACATGATGGGCATCTTTCAAAATCAGCCCCGCGTAGGTGGAGGTGGGTCTTGACGGGGCCACAGTCAGTGTGGGGGGCCGTGGCCCTGCACTCTGCCACCCTGGGAGGCTGCGGATTGTCAGAAATGTTCCCAAAGGAGCCCCTGTATATGGATCAGCAGCCAAATCAAGATCACGGCACATTCGTTTCCTTGTCAGCGGAGCACATGCCTGATACCAGACAGACCTGGGTTTGAGAACCAGCACAAAGCATGCACCCTGATGCTTCCATCTTATAGCAGTTCCATTTTACTGCAATTAGCATATAGGCAGCAAGTTTCAGCTGGCATTGCCAGGTGATGACAGGCGGGGCATGTTAGCAGGTGGCTTTTCCAGTTGCCTGGTTCCCTCCAAGGTGCGGTGCTGGAGTAGCCAGGCTGGGCAGGGGTTTTCTGAGTCTCTTAGATTCCATTGTAAAGATGGGAACAAACTGATGCTTACATAGTGATTCCATGCCAGGCACGGTTCTAAATATGCTTTATATGTACTAACTTGTTTAATCCTCATAAGAGCCCTGTAAAGATAATTATCATTATAATAGTACTTTAGTATAGAAATATTTTACAGAGGAGAAAACTGAGGCACAGAATGGTTAAGTAACTTGCCAAAGGTCACACAGCTAGCTAGATGTAGAACCTGGATTTGAACCCAGGCATTGTAAAATCTGTGTTTTTCACCAATATGCTATCCTATCTCTCTAGCTAGTTTATAATGGCTTTTGGTTATTTACATCATCTGGATCTAGCATCTAGGTTCATGGGACAATTTCTTCCTATAGCACAATGTCACATGGCTGTAGAGTCCTCTGGTTCTAGAGTGATGGCTAGACATTGCCTGTTGTAGTCACCCTGCAACCATGTCAGCATGCATCGTCACTTGTGTCCTGGGCCAGGAGGCCTAGCCATGAACTTGCAGGCCTGGCCACTCTGCCACAGCCTCACTAAGGACTCAGGGGTAGAAGCTGGACTGCATCACAGAGGCTGGGCTGAGTCAGGGAATCTGGATAGCCCTAAAGTTAGGGGATTAGAAGCACGTCAGCTTCACACCTCCCCGTGTGAGGGCGGAAGGTGAGGCATGGCCTGGCCTCCCAAGGCAGCTGCTGGACCACTGGGGTGTGCATGGCAGGGCAGCATAGGGCAGACCAAGCATGTGTGTGTCCTCCTAACCCAGTGACCTCACCCTGCTGTGTAGGACTCGATCAAAGTCCAGCAACTGCTCTCCCCCAGGCTTGGGGTGTGTGAGAGGAAGTAGCAGAGAAATCTTCCCTGAACATAAAAGTGCATGCAGAGCTATGTATTCTTAACCACTGCACATCTGCAGTCAGAGGATTAATCTATTCCCAAATATTTAAGTTCCTTCTCTCTCTCTCTCTCTCTCTCTCTCTCTCTCTCTCGCTCTCGCTCTCGCTCTCGCTCTCGCTCTCGCTCTCGCTCGCTCTCGCTCTCGCTCTCGCTCAATATAAGCCAAGCCGAAGTGGATAAATTCCACTCCCTCTACCAAGCTCCCCATTTTTCCAGCTCTCCTTTTATGTCTTCCAGGAAAGTTGTACAGTTTTGTCTTAAAGACATTTCACATTTCTTGTCAATTTTATTCCTAGGCATTTTTAAAGTCCCAAATCTGCCCACCTTTGTGTGAGCCAACTTTGATACGAGGTTAGAAAGATCTTCATTCCAAGATGATGGAACTATTTGCTTACATTTTCTTCTCAAACTTCATGTTTTTACTTAGTGTGGTTAAAGGTTTTTTGTTTGCATTTAAATAATATAGGGGCTTATTTAGGGGTTTATTTAGGTATGAAGTAGAACTCATCTTTATCTTCCAAATTGTTAGTCGAACCAATGAAATATATCGAATTACCCGTCTTTTCCCCATTGATTTGAAATCCCACCTTTATCACACATCAAAGTCTTATATCTATTGAATCTCTCCCTCAGTTTTCTATTCTGTTCTATCGATCTGTTAGTTTATTCCCAGGCCAATACTACAAAATGGCTTTATTTCTTATTAGAAAAGCAATAAAGGCTTATTATAGAAAGAGCAGGAAAATAAATGGGCACAAACAAACCGAACAAAGACGACTGGTGACTGCATCCAGGGATAAGCGCCATATGACCTGGGTTTATATCACTTCAGGTCAATGTATTTATACAAACATAGGTAAATCTATATTCATACAGTAAAATGAAGACTATGCCATACAAATAGTTTTGCAAACTTTTTTCACTTTCTGATACCTCACAGGAATGTTTCCTTGCTTCTTTTTAAAACTTGTTTATTGTAAATGCTAACTTGCATGTAGAAAACTACACAAAACAAACACATTTAGCTGAATGATTTATCACAAAGTGAACACCCACATAACCACTACTCACGTCAAGAATACAGCGTTTAGCACCCTGGAAGCCCATCTCATGGCTCTCCTATGGCTTTTCTTTTAGAATTTTACGACCTAAGCTTTCATCCCTAAAGCACATCATTTCATCTTCCTTAATTTTTGAACTGTGTATAAATGGAATTATACAATCTGTGAATTCTTTAGCAACTAGCTTCTTTCATTCAACATTATATTTATAACACCCCTCCATGTTCTTATAACAGTAGTGCTTTCGTTTTGATGGCTGTATAGTAGTCTATTATGAGACTATACCACGATTTATTGATAACTTCGACTTTCTACACATATTTGGGTTGTTTCCAGTTTTGAACTATTATGAGTAGAGCTACTATACATTTTCTTGTATATATCTTTTGGTGTATATATGTACATATTTCTATTGGTTGTGTACCTAGCTATGGGATAAATAGGTCAGACGGTTTACATATGTTTAGCTTTCATAGATACTGAAGTAGTGTTTCAAATGATTACACCCTCCCACCAGCTGCATTTGAGAATTTTAGTTGTTTCACAACCTTGTTAATTCATTTATTTTTTAATTAAAATTTTTTTTTTTTTGCAAACTGCAACCTGGATCCCAAAGCTTCCACAAAGGCACTTTTTTCCATGGATGGCTTCCAAATTGTTGTTTCTGTCGGGGGATGAGGGCTAGGGACCACCTATTCCACTATCTTGCTGACATCACTCTTGTTAATTCTTGACTATCAATAAGTTTTAATTGTAATATTATGATGTGTAGGAAGTGGTATCTCATTATGGTTGTAATGCCATTTCCATCATGACTATTAATGCTGAACACTTTTCATATGTTAATTGACCATTTAGATGCTGTCTTTTGTAAAATGTTTACTGAAGTCTTTGCTCTTTTTTCTAGTGGGTTGTCTTTATTTTTTCTTATTAACTTTTGAAGTTCTTTATAGTTTCTGGATATGAGTTTTATTTCTATTATACATATTTCAAATATCTTTTCTTACTCTATGACAGCGGTTCTCAACCTGTGGGTCGCGACCCCTTTGGGGGTTGAACGACTCTTTCACAGGGGTCGCCAGGTACTCGTATGTGGGCCTGGAGACAGATAGAGGAGTGGTGTCTCGGTTTCTAAGACCATCGAAAATATGTTTTCCGATGGTTTTAGGCGACCCCTGTGAAAGGTTGAGAACCGCTGCTCTGTGGTTTACCTTCACACTCTGTTTTTTGTTACACAGCTTTATTGAGGTATAATTCATAAACCATACAATTTACCCATTTAAAGTATGCAATTCAGTGGCTTTCAGGATATTCACAAGGTTGTGCAACCATCACCACAATCGATTTTAGAAAACTTTTCATCACCCCAAAAAGAAACACCATACCTCTTAGCTGTCATCCCTCAGGCCCATTACTTTTGTCCTAGGCAACCACTAATCTACTTTCTGTCTCTATAGATTTGCCCATTCTGGACATTTCATATAAATGGAGTCACACAATACGTGGTCCTTGGTGTTGGCTTCTTTCTCTTAGCATATTTTCGAGGTTCATCCATGTTGTAGTATTTATCAGTATTTCATTTCTTTTTATTCCCAAATAATGTTCCATTGTATGGGTATACCACATTCTATTTATCCATTCATCAGTTGATGAATACTTGAGTTATTCTACTTTTTGACTACAATGAGTAATGCTGCTATAAACATGAGCGTACAAGTTTTTGTATAGGTATAAATTTTCATTTCTCTTGGATACACACACACACACACACACACACACACTTAGGAGTAGAATTGCTGGGTCATATGTTAACTCTGTGTTTATGTTTTTGAGGAACTGCCAGGCTGTTTTCCAAAGTGACTGTACTGTTTTCCATTCCCACTAGCAGTATATGAGGGTTCCAGTTTCGCCAGATACTCGCTGACATTTGTTATGTTTTGGTTTTTTTGTTTGTTTGTTTCTTTTAGCTGAGCCATCCTGCCACCTGTTGGCAGCTCAGCGACAGCTCATCCTGGGCCGTGAATCGAACTGGCAACCTGTTGCTCAGAGCTCACACTCTTAAGTGAGCTCTTAACCAACTGATCCACTTGGCCGGCCCTGTTATGTCTTTTTGATTATAGACAGTGTCCTGGGTGTGACGTGGGATCCCATTTTGGCTTTGATTGGCATTTCCCTGATGGCTAATGGTGTTGAGCATCTTTTCGTGTGCTTACTGGCCGTTTGTGCATCTTCTTCGGAGAAATACCTATTCATATCCTTTGCCCATTTTTATATTGGATTATTTGTCTTTTTATCATTCAGTTGTAAGAGTTCTTTATATGTTCTTGATACTAGACCCTTCTCAGGTATATGATTTGCAGTTTTTTTTCTCCTGTTTAGTAGGTTGTCATTTTTCTTTCTTGATGGTGTCCTTAAAAACATAAATGTTTTTAATTTTGATGCTTCTCACTCTCTGAATGTAATTTTTTGATGAACAGAAGTTATGCATATTCATGATGTCCAATTTATTAATCTTTTCCATTATAGTCAGTGCTTTTTGTATCCTTTTGAAGAAATCTTTCTCATCCTAAGGTTATAAATATGTCTTCCTATGCTATCTTCTAGTGTATAGCTGCTGAATGATAGGAATATAACATGAAGCACAAATGCAAGTCATGTATGTAATTTTAAATTTTCTGATAGTGTCATTTAAAAAAGTAAAAAGAAACAGGCAAAATTAAATAATATATTTTACCTAACCCAATACATCAAAATATTATTTCAACATGTAATCAATATAAAATTTTTAATGATATATATATATTTTTTTGGTGTTAAGTCTTTGAAATATAGTGTGTATTTTACACAGAGAGCACATTTCAAATCAGATTTAGCTACATTTGTACTGCTTGTTAGCTACATGTCACTGTTGATGAAAAGCTTTTTGGTCTTGCCTTCCACATTTAGGTCTATAATCCATGTGAAACAAATTCTTGTATATTGGATGAGATAGGAGCTGAGTTTTCTTTAATTTTTCCATACAGATATCCAGCTGACCCTACACCATTTATTGAGAAGACCATCTTTTCTCTACTGGTCTACAACGTCACCTTCATTATTAGTCAAGATTGTCTAACAAGAGTTCTTACTTGTATGAAGGAACTTTGCACATGTAACCAGCATTGAACCAGAGAAAGGCCGATCCAAACCCTTGTACACGACGACCATCTCATAAAAGCAGCTTCATGTTAGCAACTAAACACATCTGCCAAGCAAGGACGAGTAGCTGAAAGCCTCTACCAAGTACGCATTGTAAGTTATTAGAACACTATTACCTTTAATGTGAAAACAGATGTAAACAATTAGATGGAACTATGCAAGTGTTTATACAATCACAGCAGAATCAGGAATTATTCCCAGTACTGATCGTCAGGTAGATATAGTTACCATATGGCTACCAGGAACAACTATAATATAGAGGCTGCCAAAAAATGTATATACATTTTAAGAAAGGAAAACGGTATTGAAATTATAATACTCAACATATACCAATAACAAAAGATGAATACAAGTCATATTTGACTTCTGCAATTACAAGAGGTGCTCAAAGTGGTTCCCATTAGCTTCCAGACACATCTGATGACAGCAAACTACTGCTTGAGCAACGCTGACCAACGTGTCCACTTGTAACTTGTATACATTTTTTTTGGCACCCTCAGTATTAAATTTCATTATGCATTTTCTGGTTATATTACCAGTGCTGACATTAGATTTTATCTCAGGATAAAACAAACAAGTAATTAGAGTTTTATTCAAGATGGTTAGTTAAGGTTCATCACTTTATCAAAGGAAAAGGGTAACACATTTAAACACTGACAACAAAGGACTTTTGAAAGACCCCTCCCTCGGTCAGGACACAATTGTCCGTTGATGGTGTGAGAGCCATGAACTTTACTGGCCAAATTATAAAGGGCACCTGCATCACTCGGAATTAGCTGGACCTGTGGGATACAAAGTAGGATTTTGAAAAATGAACTGGACAAATTTTGCACAGAAACCTGAATCAGACAGCCAGGTACTTGGTCACTCTACATCCAATGAAAAGATGAAACTCTCTTTCTGCAGGGTCAGGATAAGCCCCTTTCATATTCTTTGCAGATATTTATTGACTATAACCATATTCATTGATCTATGAAGCCCACTCTTGCATACGTTTTTGAACACTCTAGAAGTTTTTGTTTGGATGCATTGATTGTATTTGAACGTGACTATATTCACAAGAATCTTAAACCACTCCCAGGAAGGCCCCATCTGAGAAACACAACATGCTTTAAAACAGTGCTGCAGATATATTCACTATGCATGTATTTTCTTGTGCCCAAATAAGGAATGGATAAACCACCAAATAAATAAAATAATTACCTATAGGAGAGGAAGGGGACAAAGTAAATGGGACAGGCATATATACTTCTCTGAATATTCCTGGTTTTTGTAGCTTTGACTCTAGAATGGTTAGATGTCTGTGAAGGTTTAACATAAGAGTAAAATAACCATAAATCCCAATGTATTGGCAATTTGTGTCTTCCTTTCTTTTTTTTTGACCAGTCTATCTAAGGTTGATCAATTTTATTGATCTTTTCGGAGAACCAGCTTTTGGCCTCATTGATTTTCTCCAATATTTGACCACTTCCTATTTTATTGATTTCTGCTTTTATCTTATTTCTTCCCCTCTACTTACTTTGAGTTTAATTTGCTCTTTTTTTTCTAGTTACTTAAGATGGAAGGTTGATTTTTAGAAATTTCTTCTTTTCAAATACAAATATTTGCTCAGCTATAAACTTCCCCTTAAGCATGTTGCCTATGTGTGTGTATGTGTGTTTGTTTGTGAAGATTTTGTTTTGAAATTACAAATCCACTTTCTTGAATGGTGACAGGGATGTGTCTGTTTCTTCTTATGCCAGTTTCTGTAATTTGTGTTTTTCAGTGACTTTTCAAGGAACGCACTGGGTGTTCAGTGAGGCCCCTCTACCCAGGCTGGCTAGGACTCATACATCCCTGAGCCCTGAATGAGCTGTGGCAATTGTTCAGCTTTCAGCTCTGATAGAGTGCTTTGCCTGCCCTGCAAATATGGACACTAGGTGTGTGCATAGCTTTGGGGGTGTCGCTTCTCCCAGGCCCTCTCAGTGGACAGAGCTAGGGAATATATATAGTAAATCTATCTACAAACTTATATCGATATGTATTTCTTTATCTATCTATATTGAAAAACATGAGTCCATGTGACATCTTGAATTGCAATCCAACCTCACAAGGTACATTGCAGCATTTTTCCATTGCATATTTGTAACTTTTTTCTCTTGTCTTGTGAAACTTGGTTTCCGTTGTCTTTGATATATTAAATTATATGTATGTATGTATGTAGCTAATCTGTTATTGCAGTTGCCACCCCTCCCCCATGGACACTTTCCTCACCCCTCTTGGGTTCTATCTCCCCATGAAGGGTCATCTCCCCAGACATGAAACCCTTCTCACCCCTCACCTTACGCCAGGTTATACCCCCCACCCCCTCCGTGACCCTCTAATTCTGCTTTGCTTTTGTAACATCTATTAGATTTGTCTCTCCTATTATTTAAATACTTTATTTTCTAGTGTGAATCTTTCTGTGACAAACCTTCTCAGGCCTGGTAGACCTTATGATATTTTTGTACCCTTATATTTGAATGAAAATATGGCTGGATGTAAAATTTTAGGTTTCTAAATTCTTTTCCTTCAATAATTTGTAAAAAAGGTTCAATTGCCTTTTTGCATCCCATACTATTATTGAAAAATTGATGTAAACCTGACCTCTGTTCCTTTGGTAAAATCTATTCTTTTTCTTGCAAACTTTTAAAGTTTCTCTTCGTCTTTGACATTCTTAAATTACACTATTATTTCTCTAGGTGTAAGTTTTCCTTTTCTCTCTTCTTTGGCCCTTGTGGCCCATTTAAATCTAAAGTCTTTCATCTTAGTTTAATTCTAATGAATTTGTCTCCATTTTTTCAGTATTTCCTTCTCTCCATTTTTTCCTCCTCTTTCTGGAGTTTCACCTATTTTTTCTGTTTAACTATATTTTCTATTGGCTATACTTTTGTGTGGTAGGCATAATAACATGCTCCCCCCCCAAAAAAAAAAGATGTCCACATCCTAATCCCCAGAAACTGTGAGCATGTTAAGTTACATGGCAAAGGGGAAGTAAGGTTGCAGATGGAATTACGGTTCTTAATCAGCTGACCTTCAAATACAGAGACAATCTTGGATTATCCGGTGGGCCCAGTGTCATCACAGGGGACCTTAAATGGGGAAGAGGGACGCAGAAGAGGACAGTCAGACGGAGACGTGACTACGGCAGGAAGGCACAAAGATGCAACGTTGCTGACTTTGAAGATCAGATTCAGCCCTAGAGCCCCCAGAAAGGAACCCAGCCGACACCTTGATTTCAGCCCAGTGAGACTCATTTTTTGGGTTTTTAACTTCCAGAACTGCAAGCTAATAAATTTGTGTTGTTTTAAGCCACTATATTTGTGGTAATTTGTGATAGCAGCAATAGGAAACTAATATCCCTTTTAAAAAAACTAATACACTTTTAAAAATTGTTTTTCTTATTTCTTTTCCTACCATTTGTTAGATTAATCACATTTCTTTATTCCATTTTTTTCTCATTGATGGTTTCCAAGCTTTATCCTATTTTTGTTATTCTGGTGGTTACCCTCCATAGTTTCACCTTTTTTCAATGTCAGATGTGCACTTAGTATAAAAGTCCAATTATTGTATAAGTCTTGTTATGAAAAACAGCAGTTGCCTCCATCCTCCCCCATCATTTCCTCCTACCCAGCGGAAACCACTTTCACTCCTTCAGCCGACTCATCTCATATTTACTTTTTTATCTCTAAATGATATACATGTATTGCTACTTCTTGATTTTTCAGTTTTAGTCATCATCTGTTGACTTTCCATTGGAGAGGATGAAGATTGAACTCTTCACTGTCAGCGTGTACACACACACACACACACACACACACACACACACACACACACACTCCTTCCCAGCTCTTCCAAGCTGATAGGAGGTAGGAGAATGAATGAGTAAACTTTGGTATGTTCAAAGAATAAAATATATAGCTGTGAAAATGAATGAACTATATAGCTCCAGGCAACACCAGCCGTGAGTCTGCACAGTATAAGGATGAGTGAAAACAGCATATCTCAGACACACAGAGTGATACTGTTCTCGTAAGCTTGTAAACCAAGTGAAACAACACAATATGTTGTTCCGGTACTCATATATGTAATAAGGCTATTTCTAAAAGCAAAGGAATGATAAACACAAGATTGAGGATGGTGACTACCTTTTGGAGGCCGGGGTGGGTGGGAACGGTAAGGAGCCCATAGATAGTTATTGGCTAGTTGGGTGTTGAGTTTGTGGTGGTTCCTTTCATAAATAAATGCATACAGAAATGCAAATCAATGTGAATAAAATGAGAAAACAGGCACAGGCAACCCATGATCATATACTCTGAACTATTTAAATGTGTTCACAACAGTATTGTGCATCATGGCAAAAATTCTGGAAAATTGTTATCAAATTGTTTCGCAAATAATTTCCTCGCCTCCATTTTCTTTTTCTGTACTAATTTTTTGAGCATTGGACCTCCTAGATTGATCCTCTATTTTCTTTTCTTCTTTCCATCTCTCTGTCTCTTGCTCTATTTTCTGGGAGATTTCCTCCACTTTAATTTTTAAAAGCTCATTTTTTTATTCCCTGAATGTCCCGTTTCTGTAGTCCTTTCTTAGCAGTATATCTACCTCAAACTTAACCTCTAGGATTCAGCTTTTTGGGGTGTGCTGCGTCATTTACTACTTGTCCATCTATTGTTTTGCTATTGCTCTCTCTACCAGTGTCTACTTCTTTATGGGCATTTGCCTTTTAAAAAAATATTTTGCTGTAATTTTTATTGGGTTTTCAGGAAGTTCTCTACACTTAAAATTTTAATACAAATGTTTGGAACTATATATATCAGCCTCTAGAGTTTAATCAGAATTTATACCACACCTTCAAATAGGACAAGAAACCCTCTACCCTTTTTCTTCCCTCGCTTATTTCTTCTCCTGTTCCCACCTCCCATGTTGAATAATCAGAGATTCTCATTCAAGAGTTTTCTTTTATTCCACACCTTTTTGGACTTATCACAGAGTTTTACTGGCTTTTTGCCCACCACTACATCCTATAGGCTACATTTGCATCTTGGATTCTGTGTTAGGTATCTATTGCTATATAACAAATTGCCACACACTTTGATGGTTTAAACCAACATGCATGTCTGATCTCACTGTGAGCAGGGAATCCAGGCCCAACTTAGCTTGGGCCTCTGCTTCAGGGTCTCACAGGCTGCACTCAAGGTGTTGGCCCAGGCTGGGGTGTCCTCGGAAGGTTTGACTGAGGAAAGACCCAGGACTTAATTCCTTTTGGGTTGTTGGATGAGGGCCTCCGTTCCTAGCTGGATGTTGGATGGAAGCCTCCTTTGGGTTTTTCCCATGTGGGCGTTCTCATAACATAGGGCAGCTCACAACATGTCAGCTGGCTTCCTTGAGCAAGCAAAGGAGAAAAATCTGCTAACAAAACAGAAGTCAGAATCTTTTGCTGTGTTTTCTTGGTTAGAAGCAAGTCAAAGGTCCCACCCACACTCACGGGGAGGGGATTACACAACAGAGTGAACACCAGGTGGCAGAGATCATTAGGACCATTTTAGTATCTGTCTGCCACATATTCCTATTTATTTTTGTTGGAGTACATCCTCTAATAGTTCTTTCATATGTGGTTCTTGGGCGGTAAAATGTCTTAGATCTCAAAGGTCTGAAATGGATTTGTTTTGTCCTCTCACTTGACTGTGGTATAGCTGGGGATAGAATTCCTCGCTCATAACGTTTTCCCCCCTCAAAACGTTGCTATTTATCTTCTTGCATCCAAGGTTGCCAAAAAAAAAAAAAAAGGCTGATGCCAATCTAGTTTTTTTGTTCTTTATAGTTCATCTGGTTTTCCTCTCTTTGATCCTTGGTGGTGTGAAACGGCACCACAGTGTCTCTAGGTGTAGATCATTTTTTTCTTCCTTCTTGGTTGGTTTATCTTTCCACTCTGTGGTTTGCATTTTTGCTTTTACATTTAAAAAAAATTGTTGTTAACATTTGATTGTATATTAGCCAAAATCCCTAATTAATTATTATTATTTTGGAATGTAAACGTCTCTTTCATCCATCTGAAAGTATTGTATGTAATTAATCTAAAGTCTTATTGTTTCTTCTGCTTGTTGGGTTTGGTATCTCTGTTTCAAGGTGTTGTTAATTCTCACATATTTTTTTGACTATTGGATGTGTGATTGTCTTTATGTTTCAGTGTTCCTATTATCTTTCACAGACTCTGGCAATGGGCTACTGATATGTGTTCCTCACTTGTTGCTTCCTAATGGAACCCTGATTGTGTTTAGGCAGTCATATACCCAACTAGCTCAGGTGACAATTCATGATTGTAATTCCAGTGCCTCTCTTCCCAGCCTCCCTTGCAGGTAGGATTGGCATGTGACAAAGTTCTAGCCAATGAGATATAAGTGGAAGCCTACTGAGAAATTTTTGGGGACTATTTTACATTATTATAAAAAGGACACTTTTGTGAGGAAAACTTAGTAATACTGACTCTTTCCCTTTCTTCCTTCTTTTGACATAGATGTGATGTCTGGACTGTGGCAGCCATTGTGTGACCAGGAGGTAGCTATCCACTAAGGATGGTTGAAGTGCAAAGGTAGGAAATCTGTTTTCTGGGTGGCTTTAATTGAGCCAGAGGCGCCAAACCTGAAACCACCTCTAGACATCTTGTGATGTGATTTAATTAAATGTCTTTTTTTGCTTGAGCCACTGTTAGTCAGGTTCATTATTTGTCAAACATTCCTGATAAACGTAACCAGTGTGTGAGTATTGTAACTGCTACATCCTGAATCCAATGATTATGGTGGAAGAATGGAAGGCTCTGCTGAGGGGGTTAACCAGTAGCTCCTGCCTTTGGCTGAAGAAGTTCCTTTTTGGCTCTGCATATTAGTGGCCTTCCAAGCCCCTGCCCTGATTTTTGAGTTCAAGTTCCCACCTTACTACCTGACTGCAGGCTGATGGCTCCGCTGTCCTCTTCTTGGCACAGTCAGGGGAGGAGAGCAAATCTCCCGTCCCTGCTGTGATGCCTCAACCAACCACCTCCAAGTAGCCCCAGCACTTTCTTCTGTTCCCCAGATCTATCATTTCTGAGTTTAGAGCCTCTACGCTGCTCTTGACTTCTATAGCAGTCTTCCCTTACATGTGGTTTATGCCGTGGTTTCCTCCTTTAGTCTGGTCTCATCTCTGTCTGTCTTTCAAGGGTTCCTGATCATTTCTGGTCTATTGAAAGCACTCCTTGTTTTCTAGTGTTGCCATAGTGTGTGTGTGTGTGTGTGTGTGTGTGTGTGTGTGTGTGTGCGCGCGCGCGCCTACCTCACATTTGATCCAGCAACTATGATTTATATTCATGAAAAGAATGGTCAGCCTTATTTTTAAGTATCTAAACCCCCTTCTAGGAATCTATCTGGAGAAATAGCCAATTGTAGTAAAAACTTTATGTTAGAAGACTTCCTTTCCAGTGTAATTTATGTAATAGATTAGTATCTCAGAAAGGGGTCTTTCCAAGAATATGACTTTCTCTCTGTTTGGCTTGAAGCATCCACCTGCCTAGAGGTGGAAGAGGAGGTGTGGGATGGAGCAATATTAAGGTTTACTATAGTTCATCATTTCTAAGACTTATTACATTTCTTTGAAATTACAATCAGTGTTGGTTGACAATAGCTGTTGGCTAGACAACAGCCATGATATGGTTGTCGTAGTCTGCCCACCTGCAGACTTGGTCTGAAAGCCTTCTGTTAACACCTTCTGTGTTAATCGGCTGGGGAGGTACAGCATATATACTTGCAGGATGGGTGTCAGCAATTTGGAAGAAAATCCCAGAGGCAGGGGCAGATGTCTTCATCTCTGGGTTAAGAGATCCTATGTCAACTACACTCTCAATGCACAGACAATACTGTAGAGAAGGACTCAATCATCGCCAACGTTGCGTTGAAAAGGGATTCAGAAGGATCATTTTCTACAACACTCTCTTCTGTGAAGAAGTTTTAGGATCACTTTCCAATTGATTTCGCTTCTATTTTCCTTTTTACCTATGCACAAGAGTGGTATATGATAAAAATGTATGTCTGAATAAGCCTAAAAAGAGCTTTTTCGAGCACCATCCACTGAAATCCTAAATAATAAGAAAGTATTGTTCATGATTCCATTGGCAGCTTGCTTGTCTTTCTTAGGAGCACCTAAAATAACAGTACATCTTATAACGGATGGCATTCATTTCAGTAAAGTGCAAAATTACAGAGAGAATGAAGACAGAAAAAAAAAAAAGGAATTAATATCCAGCTTCTGACATTCAAAATAAAATTATGCAGGAAGAAATTAGCCTTGCAAAACGGGTGTCTTTCTTAAAAGAAGATCTAAATTATTTTCTTTGGATCCTAGGCACACTTGCAAACTCCCTCCTTTCGCATTTCAACAGCGGAGCCCAGAGGACCCCGCCTGTGGGGTCCTCCCTGAGTGGAGGATCGCGCTCTGTAAGGCAGGCCAGGAGGAGGCTTGCTGCCCTTCCCTGGAGGGACGTGGGGTAGAGCAGGGGCCCAGGGAAAGTGGGAAGACGAAACAGTGAAGGAGGAGGAGGAGGAGGAAAGCAAGTCAAGCAGAAATGAGAGCCCAGTTAGTTAAGTCAGTAACTCAGTGACACCCCTGGTTGAGGGGGCTTTGCGTCTCTACCTGCTTGGAGCCCCTGGAGGAGGCTGCACCATCGCAGATGGAGGGTCCCTGCGGTTCCTGCTTCTGAGCCTCCGTAGCATTCCCATGTGTGGATGGGATCCTGACGTTGCTGGAGGGGATCACTGTGATGTGACGTCACCCTGGAATCAGAAGGGACCCTAAGCAAACCCACTGCCGAACACCCGGAGTGACCCTCCCATCCTGTCTCTGGGATCCCAGAAACCACACTCCTTTCCCCCCTACTCCCCAGTCGCCACCTGGACAGTAGGGGAAGACTCGCCTTTTTTCTTAGCGACGGAGCCTTGCATATAAGGATTATTGGGTAGGACTAAGATTTTAAAGGTCATGCGTCGCCCCACCCGCCCAACCACGCTAGCCAGAGACTAAGACATGGGAGGACCAGAAAAACGAAAGAGCTACCTTTTTGCTTCACATCTGAGATACAATCGCACTGCATTTTCAGACTTGCTACATTTATATAAAGGAAGACTTGGAAACAACTTAAATGTACTGCAAATGAGAATGATTTAATAAGTTATTATGCATGCGTGAGATATAATTTTACCCAGTTATTAAAATTATCTTTATGGACTATTTTAATTACACAAATAGTGGAAATCAAGGAATAAATGTGTATGTACTAGAAGATCTCAGTTATACATACAAAATAAGCTGGAGGAAATGCACTAAAATCTTAACTGCAGTTACTTTGAATGGAGGAGTATGGGTGATTTTAATTCTTTATGCTCTCTGTATTTTCCCCATTTTCTACAGTGACCACGTAGATCTGAGAAAATAATAAATAATAGCATTTAAAACCAAAATCTTACTTAGCAAATGTCAAATGGGTTTCTGAAGCCCCTTGCTCTTCTCAAATCCACATAAACCAGCTGCCACAGATCGTGGATGACCGGGCTGAGGGACGGAGTGTGGGAAATGCTCATTTTTCCCTGTTGCCCAGTTGCCAGTCCACGTGTGACCGACTATGTGCGGAGACAAGTGGACAGGTGTCTCTATAATACTAGCCCTCCAAGCCGAACGAGAGCAGAAGTTCCTCCAAGATCATTCCCAAATGTTACTATTTAACATCACCCATTTCTTCATGACCACATCAGTGAAGAATTTTTCATTCAGACTGGCATCGTTCTGGCAGCTGTAGGAGGACCGTCCCCCACCCCCACCCCCCTCCGATGCTCTAATCCTCAGAGATAATTTACTTCTCCAGAGGCACCAAAGTCTAACAAAGACTTAAATACAATGAAAATGTGACCAGAGGAAGAAGGCAGCCTGTCTGTCTGATGAGGCAGAGCAGTGTCCAGTGGTCAGAGCAGAGGGGCGTGGCTGGAGGCCCCTGAAGTGATGCTCATGGAAAACCTGCTGGCCTGCCCTACCTCTGCTCGGTCAAGGGTATTCCCTTACAGTCTACATGACCACATCACCAACGTTGAATATGAGGACATTTATTTTCTAAAACTTGGTGTCTTGCAGACAGCATGGAAGATAACACCTAGTCCCACCTCGGGCATCTCAACACCTCTGACACCACAATTTGCCTCTTGGCAGACCTGTGCCCAGGATGGAGACACCTAGTTCAGAGAAGAATAGGCTTAGTCCATTCCTAGAAACAGGGGCGTGTCAGGTGCTCTGGGCAAACTGGCCACATAGGTGAGCAGAAGTGGACCATCAGTTTAATATTCTGGAACGTGAACCTGGTATAGATGGGAATCCCTTAGGCATACCTGGCTTCAAACAGC